TGATGGAATATTTTTTTTCAAATTGGGAAGCGGCTCTTGGAGGCATGAACTAGGATTGAGAATGTGCCTTATTTTGTCCCTTGGTGATAGGTTGAAAATGCCCTGCCCTAAGATTGATATGACCATACATATTGATCATTATCATGATGTGTTTTGAACTAAGGTTATTAATGATTATGTCACTGAATTCAGAAAGTTGGATTCAAATTTCAGGATATTTTTACAGTTTAAGAAATTATGTGACTGCAGTCGGGGTTATGTGAAACCTAGCTAATGAAGCCTGAATGGTTTTACAGATTTTACAGACTGTTGTTCCTAAGTACTGTCAAACCATTCTTTTTGTTTCATTGCTGTCACTTAACCAGTTAAATATGGCTGTAGTCATATTGAGCATATCTTACCGTAACAAATTGCCAGACTGCATTTTCTTTAACAAACCCTATATATTTCCCAGTGTTTATTTTAAATGTTGTGTGGTGCCTTTGGGCAAATAAGCATGTGTTTGGATTACAGCAATATCAGCAACGTCTTTTTTAATTTCACTTTTTAACTTTTCTTAGTGGCTTGATGTGCCGACTGTCTACATGTAAACTCCACAGAAAATGAAGAATAGATAGATAGCTTTAAGCTGTTAACATCTGGAGAAAACATTCAGTCATTATATTACCTATGTCAATTGAACATTCTTTCAATAATTTGATTGAATATTCAAGTGATTAATCAAGAAATGCTCTATAATGGGTATGTTTGTATGTATTCTAGGCTTAATGAGAGTCCACCCGTCCTTTCAGGCACCAAGGATACGGACCTTGCAGATGTCACCATTCATGTTCTTAAAAGTTAATATTATCTTCCAAAAGGTGGCCTATAAATTTTGCATTCTGTTATTCACTTGACGATACTAGATATGTATGCAAGTCAATTTCCCCATAATGGGTCCGAGGATGTGCATGTTAGAAACAATGAGTCCCTTTTGTTTGTGCCATTCCCCCCCATTTTAATACATGTAGTAAAGTAGTAAAGATCCTGGTCAATGTTGTAAAAAAAGAGCATGTAAACAGCTTTCCATGAGTTGTATTGTAAAGTATGTTTACACATAGGATTTTCTCTCAAGTTTGTTTGTCCAGTAGATGTAAAATTCTGTTAAAGGCTGCTTATGTAAATATTTGAGAAAGGCAAACTGTTAAATTCTCAAGACACTATTTACAGGTTTATAGGTCTTATGCTTCCATAAAGTATCAATTAAGACAGGTTAACTTATGTGAATGTGCAATATGTCCAGATACTAATTGTAGCATTATTTTTTACCATCTTTACATTGAAATCTGCAACAATTGGCAATTGAAAAATTCAAAGGAAGACAGGTCTGTTATATAGATTTGATTGGGTGGGGGGGGGGGGGTGGATTTGAAGGGGGAGGCAGGGGGGGGGGGCAATGGTCATAACTACATTTCATTATTTTATAAAAGATAAACTATCAAACAAAGACATGTGTGACAGTGTTGTTTTTCAATCTGTGCATAACAAAATTTAATACATGCAGTCATGTTAATGTGGTATGGTAAATGTTTCATTAAGTGATTGATAAAAATCTAACTTTTTTTCTCTTAGGCTTAAATGATAATATTCATTGTGATGTTTTTTTGGGGGGTGAGTGAACAAAGGCTATGAGTCTGAATTTTTTATTTAAATTATGGATTTCATTCATATAAATCACAGGTAACATGTGTGTGACTTGGACTTTCGTTTAACAATCATTATGGCACTCATCAGAATCAATTATTTGAATCAATATTGTGAATTTGGCAGACATTGTAGTAAATGTCAGCCCCTTCATTGATGTAGTGTTAACAGATGTTTTTCAGTAAGGGTTTTTTTGGGGTTTTTTTGTTGATTTTTTTGTCGAAAAATTGTGTATCTTTGAAATAAATAATGATAATTTTTGCATGTGCATGATCCATCAACAAAACTCATTAAAATATTTTGGAATATGTTTTATTCTGTTGGCTTATAATATTCATGTCTGCTAGTTTAATCTTCGCTAATAAATAATATTATTCTTTTGTTATGGTATATTTAAACATAAACTTTGAATTCTTACATAAATCATCTCGGTCACATAAAACGGCAAAATGTGTCAAAGATAATAATAAAAATATACCCAGAATTATATTGAAAATCAATTGTTTGTGCGATTCTTACGTAGATAAAACACTTAAAACACTTTTTTAACATATGAAAATCAATTATTCTGGAAAAACAAAGTGAGAAAATGATCAGAAATTTTGCACACAAGTTATCAGACCTACAAGTTAAATGGTACATAAATCTTGAGAAAAAAATATTTCAAGTCAAAAAAACCTCAGTGGACTCTATTCCAGAAATCTATGTATTAATTATTCACAATGTAAGTGAAACTTTAAATGTATTTTATATGCTTCAAAACTAAAACGGCAAAAATCATAATATTATTGATTAAATTTTAAGTTGTCTGTGGTACATGTATTTATTGTCCAACCAAATGGCAGCATATTGTGTGCCAGACAATGGCACAATGCATTTATATCCTTAATTTAATTTTCTGTTGAAAGTAACACCTGCCCAGTTAAATATTGATAATACTGGTTAAACATTCAAGGTCCATTAAGTGGGATAAAAACATCTCACATTTTGCTGTCATATGAGTACAGTTCATTGATCAATTGTAAGTGAAGGATCGGGTATTATATTGTAACAGATGTGTTTAAATTCTTAAAACAAGAATGATGCTGAATAATGGAAATTATGAAATTCAGAATCATATGTCACATGTATATAATTTCTCATTTGTAGTTTATACAGAATTTATTTTACTCAACTGATAGTTTGATTTTGTAGAAAGCTATCAGCTTTTATATGCACTCTCAAACTCTCATTTTGAACTTGGTATTTCCAAAGAATTTTTTTTTATAGAAGATGAGAATAAGCTAAAAAATTTCCACCCTCAAACCAGAAATATGATAAAAATACAACTGTATTATATAAAGTCAATAAATGAAATAAATGATGATATCCCAATATCAGATATTGTACAAGTTTTAGGGGCAGGGGGCATTTATTGAAGAATATATGGTAGATAGTACAGTGGGTTGTGATAATGAATACAGTTAAACCTGAACTCAGAATCACTTAAAAGACAATATCTAAAAAAAACCTGTAAGACTCAGCATTTTTCTGTCGGGAAATTACAATGCTAGGTACATATAGACTGTTAACAAAGACTTGTCACTGATCCAGTTATTCGTGTTTAAATAATTAAAGATGGACATTGTTTAAACAAGAGATACTGTACATATGACAGAACAAATTGAAACAGTATTTATGAAATGAACAACCATTATAGCATGTAATAAGTAAAATTATAATTCACTTAAAAATAAATTTTCCATCGAGATATTTTTTAAGCATAACATCTAGTTTAAGAAAGTTCTTATGATGGTATCAGGGTTTTGTTTCAAATATAAACTAAATTTTTATAATGGACTTTAAATTTGGAACTGTTCATCATTTTTTCATACTTCATTTGAATGATCAGAGTTCATAGAATATAGGCTGACTGAAAATTATAAAAGTGGCTAAAGGGATACTCCGGTACTCGCCAAAATGTGGGTTTTTCCCCATCTTATCCCGGGATACAAATAAGCTTTCACAGTTGCAGCTTTACTAATATATTGATAAAAAGCACAATCTAATTGACCAATGGCCACTCTATTGTGAGCAAAAATACACAGCTAAAGGTTTGTTTGTACCCTGCCAGTACAAAAACACACATTAGTCGAGTTATAGATAATCAACTTCTGTAGGAAAGTCATTATTGTTGCAGCATTCAAAAGTTCACTAAAAAATTCATGATATTAACTAATTATGTCCAAACAGCGTTCAACTATTGATTATCAATGACACACCTTATAGGATAAGTAATACGTATCTGTCTATGAAACAAAAATTAATGTACAATTATGCAGTATGTTTACACAATTATTGATTGTCCATATACATGTATACATTATTAGCTGTTAAAATCAGCTGTTAATCATCTAAAGTGATTCAAGATGACAACAAAGGCTCAATAATTTAGGAGCCAGTTGATTTCTTAAGGGGATTAGTTGAATAAGATATGTTTAAATCCTTTTTGTATGAATTTTACAGAGAAAATGTCAGTGACGCTGATTGTATCAGGATGTAGAATTATTAAGAGGATTTATGAATACTTCAGTTTTCTATTTTGTCATTGTATGTCCTGAAACAAATCTTGAAAGTTCAAGGACTATCTTCAAAGTTTAAGGACTATCTTGAAAAACAAAGAAAGCCCCTAATGTTTGTACAATGACATGTACAACGAGGCTGTTTATACATACGTATATATGGCTGAGAACGGAAGTTAAAAGTTTAGATGGGGAACCTTTCATTATCTCACACAGTGTCTCATGATCAGATTCTGTGACGCTCGAGTGTGCAACTTTGACCTAATACCTAACCCAAAAGAATAAAAAAATGATAGAATAATGTTCAAAGTTTTGTTGTTAAACCTAGTGCTACAGACCACCTAAAATTGAACAAATACCACACATAAAAGTCTTGTCACAAAAGGCCAGTGCAATTGAATGATTGTTTTTACATTTGAATGTAAAGTACAGATATCAAGAAATATGTGAAATCCTTGGAGAATCGAGGTATTACAAAAAGCATGACGTTTAATGAATTGTAAATTTCTTGGACACAGAAGAGTGATTCCAAGACGATAGCATGTAAAAATTTTGTTTTCAGGACTTGCAAAATTTCCAAATAAAAAAGAATAACTTTACACTCATTGCTTAGTACTGATTGATTCCAGGAATGGATTCAAGAGTGTTCCAATAAGCTAATAGCTTCCAACACAATGGAACTAAAATAAATTCATATAAACTAAAATGTAAAGAAAAAGTGATATAACAAGACAAATCTTAAATTTTACATTTTAGGTTTATGTGGGAATGAGGATCTTATTGTCACAGTTGAGAATCGCGTCAATCTCCTTGGAAACAATGTCACCTTCCGATGCCTCGTGCAGAGAAACATGTCTGATGGCTTGCGAATGATTGACGTTCCAGAAGATATTGAATGGACGTTTCTGCGTGTAGCGTCAAGTGTTCCGGTAGTCATTCTTAATTCTTACGAGAAAAACCGAACTGAAGATGGCGTCAGCGGTACAAGTTCGGACAGCAAATCCGATTTTAAATACCACAAAGAGGTGTGGCCAGATATCACAATACACGCAACAACGGAGGCAGACGCTGGTTCTTACACTTGTAAACTGGTGAAAACTGGACAAACGGCAACAGCTCAGTTATATATTATTGGTGAGTATGTTTTTTCCCCATTCTTTTCATTATGAATAATTGGCAGTTAGGGAAAAAAAAGAATTCCTATGTAGGCTATTCATCTATTTATGCATACAATGTTCTCCTCCTTCAATGACATTAATTGACATTATTAAGACAAGTCTGTAATATATATCCTTTTAAGACTTGAAAGGAAATTATGGCCAAATACCGGTATGGATTTGAATGTGAAGTGTTTTTGAATCTTTTTTTAGGTGTAATTGGCTGGGGAAAGTAATCATATCCTTGAGATATATATTTACATTATTTAGTTTTATTGATTTACTGAGGAATTGTTCTTAGCCAGACATCCAAATGGAAATACTTTGTTTTTCAATGTTAAAATTTAGACTGACTTTAAATCTCTTTGTCAGAGTTGTTTAGGTAAAATCTGTACAGATTTCTTGCTGTAAATGAAATTAGAATTAATTATTAAGTTAAATACATGAAGTTTAGTGCATTAATAGTTTTAAATTCAGAAACATACAAATTTAATAGCTAATTAAGTATTTCTTTAAATATTGAACAAAATAAAGCATATTATGGAAAATCAAAATAGAACTTGCATACATGTATCTTTAAAGGCACATTATGCCTCAAAAACAAATAATTTTTACTTCTTTAAGAAGGGTAAACATGAATTTTATAACATTTAGATATCAGTTTTTGAGCATGTCAGATTCTGGTTACCTAAAAGAAATAGCTATAAATGTGAAATAATTTGTCTTCAAAGAAGGAAAATGTAATCAAAGAAGTAGTTTGACTTCCATACAAAATACTATTTCACTATAAGTGTACTTATTGCCAAAAAGTAACAGATGAAAAAGATGGTTCAGGTAATTGGCCAGTGACTGAGTAACTTTTTGGAATCTATAAAAGTACACAAAAATATAATAAAAGCTTTTCAGAAATAAAAATAACAGCATTTCCAAGGCATAATGGGCAATTAACTGACAAGAACTTTCTATCAGCAAATGCCAAATGTCTGTTGTCTGTCTGGTTTTTGAAGCCATAATCATCATCTAATCTGTATGTAGTTTCAACTTTATAAATTTTGGTCAGTTCAAGAATGATAGGTCCTTTCAAATATTAGGTCACAAGGTCAAATCATAGGCAAAGATTTTAAATCCTTGACTCTAGGTCAAATAAGCATTTGATTGAAAATTTGGTGAGAAAGTTAACATGGTGGTAAAATACATGTCAAGCTCAAAGAATAATTTATCCAGGTCAGAAGGGTACTTCCAAGGAAAGCTTTGATGACACTGTAGAAGGAATGAATATGGTCATAATGACACTTGGTAATAATGAATACCAAAATACATGTACATGTATAATATAAAAGATTATGACAAAAAGTTTAGTAACATTAAAAGTTACCTCACAAAGTATTGAAGTTTAGTGAATAAGTAGGAAAAATAAGCTCATACATGTAGGTTTAAATTTGTAAGTTATTTTTTTATTGTTTGTTTTTTGGGATTTTTTTTTTTTTTTTTTTTTAAAGAAAATCATCTTGGGAGCAATTCAAAGGCAGAATAGCACTTATGTATACTTACTTTTTATGTCAGCACAAGTGTTAACACAAGATGTATAAAACTGAATTACCACAAATATTTCTCAAGAAACTTTCTATAAAAGCCATTATTTCGTCTAGTGTTTTCATGTTTTCTGATTTTTACATTTTGGCAATTGTCAAATCATTTTCAGCTTTTACAGATTAAGAGAAAGTAAGAGACAAAAAAAATACCAGGCACGAAATGGTAGTTTTCATAGCTTATGTAGAAATAATGCAATAAAAGTAGTCTGGTTCACTGTCAAAGTTGAGAAAATGGACTGGTTGCAGACTTGATGACCTATACTACAGGAATCAATATCAATGATTAAATGAGACCCAGTCATCTAGTTGAGTCATTAAGAATTAATGATGATCCTCAGAAAGAATTTATTATGGCATTTTTGTTTTTGTTTCATGAACATTTGTATTTCCAGGCTTTAGTTGGAATTAAAGTTGTCAAGAATGCATTAATTATTCATTTGTTTAAAATTGTCTTTTGTGCTGTTTAATTTTGAGATGGAAAGGAGGTTTTAGCTTGATTAAATGTTGAAATGATTAGCAGCACTTGTACAAAAAAGTACATGTTTTAGTAACATTTAACCCTTACCATGCTAAATATCTTGAATGGACTTGCCCATCTTTCAAGTTGGACAAAAGCATTAATCACTTTTAGGGAATAATTTCAAAATTAGTAATGACTGAATAGCGAACAGTGCAGAATTTCATTTGGTAACACTGGTAATTTTAATCTGAATAATTAAGTTATATAATGTCTTGGTTTTAGACTGAACTATCATCACTTTTAAGTCCTATGTCCAATTTGCAAAGAATGAACTGTCTTTTGCTTCTGTTGCCTATGGGAATTAGTACAGTATTTTGTTTGGAAGTCAAAAAACTACTTTATTTACATGTTGCTACTTTTATGACAAATAATTTCACATTCTGTGCTACTTTCTACAGGTACGAAGCATTACATCATCACCTTAGTGCAGTAACATGTTAACTCCTAATATGTAATAAAGTCGTTAGCCCATTACTGCACTTCTGTGATGACATGCTCTGAAACCATTATTTAAAACACAGGAATGCCCTTTCTTAATAAGAAGGAAAAAAAACCATTTTTTTGAGGCATTTTGTGCCTTTAACTCTATTTATTATTTTAATAAGTTGGAAAAAGGAAAAAATAAAAGTATCAATGCACTGCTGTTTGAAGAGTACATTCTATGTATCGGTAATCATGAAATACTGAGAAATCAGATACAAGAAAATTTCACAGACAATATCATTTTCAAACAGGCAGAAAATTCCTGGATTTATTCTGCAAACAATTGAATTAATTGGCTGCATTGCCTGTAGAACATGAGCAAATTGGCTGATAACTTGTCAATGTAATAATAGAAACATTGTCTACATCACAAGTCAATATTTGTAACTATTCCAGGGAAGTCTGCAGGAATATATATATGAGCCGTGTCATGACAAAACCAACATAATGGGTTTGCGACCAGCATGGATCCAGACCAGCCTGCGCATTCGCGCAGTTCGATCAGGATCCATGCTGTTTGCTTACAAAATCTATATCAAGTAGAGAAATTGATAGGGAACAGCACGGATGCGCAGGCTGGACTGGATCGATGCTGGTCGCAACCCATTATGTTGGTTTTGTCATGACGCGGCTCAATATATATATATATCAACAGTATAGGAGGATTAAGGTTATAAAGAAGTATTAAGAGTAGCTTTTGTCTTGTAATAAAGTGTTATAACATTATTACTTTGACTGAAGTTAAGACAAGCTATTAAGTTACATGACAGATTTTACGTCTTGGCTGTATACAGTAGCTTTTCCCCCTATTATCAAATCAAACTGCCATGCTAAGTTTTTGAGGAAGAGAAAAACAGATTTCTAGAGAGAGAAAAATCAAACAAATAAAATCATTGGAAAATAATGCAAAAAAAATGAAGAAGGGTCTTATCCACATTGAATGATGGACAAGTCCGTTTGAAATAGTTAATGGGAACTATGGGGTAAGATTTAAAAATATATGAACTGTTTTATTTTTACTTTTTTTCAGATACCTTCCCAGTGTGTACTAAGAGTAATGATGGTCCTATCTACTATGAAAATGACATTGTGACCTTGACCTGTACAATGGGTTTCCATGGCAACCAGAAACCAAAATTAGACTGGAAGCTCCCAGAATACCATGTGGATTATGAGCATTTGAAGTTTAAAGAGGAAAATTCTGTAAACTTGGTAACAAAGATTATTCACGTTATTTTGTTGGATTTGTTTGTTTTTAGCATCCATTAACATTATTATGCAATTTCTAAATAAATGCACTGTGCTTTCAAGTGCTAGCCTATTACTTCTGCACAAGTAAATGTCAACGCTTTTACTGAAGTCGTTTGAAAGAATATTACCGGGTAAACATTGAAATGGAATCTATATCTGAGAGAAAATTTTTTTTTCATGTAAAATTTTAGCTTGATTAGATTGCATGTTGCATCACAAGCCCTTATGCACAATATGTTTAGCAACAAAATGTCATTCTCAGAGATCCAAATGTAATGTCTGATTTATTATGAAACCATTGATTAATTACTTTGCCTTTCACATGTCATATGATCAGATTTTAATCTAATCAATATAAAAAGTGTTTTGGAGAATTCAGAACTTTACAAGTTGAACAAATACAATACTGACTACTGTAATGTACTTGTTAAATTTCAGTTGCTAATAAGATGTGATTCCTATTTATTTATAACTTTACTTTGCTTTGACTGTGTATTGTTTAAGAGAAGTAACTTTTCATGTTTATTAAAAATATTCATGTAATATATAATTGCCATCCTTTTATTTACATCATTTCTCATACTGTTTATTTGTTTTGTTTAGTTTTATGTTTCTAATGTTTATCCACATGTTCTTTACGAGTGAGACTAAAAAATGTGTTATAAACGGGTGTTTGCAGTATAACCCTCGCCTGGCAACTGGGGTTATATATACAAACAACCATTATATAGGGCCATATAACCTGTCAAAAAATCTTAGTAACAAATAATATATAAATATGATTCTTTTCTTACAGATTTCATCTAGTGTTACACTTAGTTTACAGCACATGATTGACGGGAAAACTTTTACCTGTTATTCTTCTTTTGTAAACACTTCTTCTGAACCCTACAACTGTACGACAATGTTTCAGCCAGAAAGTGTTCTTTGTAAGTTTAATATTTATAAGTACTTTTCATATTTGAGAAAAGTAAGTGTTATTCAGTCTTCTTTTGTTAAGAATTATGCATTGATTTAGGTAATGTTCTATTTGTGGTGACCTGCTATAAAAAATTGAATAATGAATGGTGCATAATTCCGTATATCGAATGTGGTTAAATTTATAAAGCTTATGTCATAAATTTGAAGTGACATCACAGTTTGTATTTGTGGCTATGTTTAGTTTATAGTTGAATCTTTGTTAGAGACCACCTTTAGGTAAAGTGTAAATAATGAAAACATGCCCCAAAAAACTATCGCTTAATTTCCCATTAAAACAGTGCAACTAACAGATAATGTATATATTTTTAGTCCCCTACCGGTTTAACCGGAGGTGACTTTAGGTTTACCCTCCGTCCGTCTGTCAGTCCGCACTCACAGGACAGTAATTATGTGGCTAGAGGGACAATAGGTAACTGTTCTTTCTCTTTGATGTCATTCATTCCGTAATGCTTTTATGTGGCTATTTTCTTTTGTGTGGCTAAAAAGAACAATAGAGAGAACAATGGAGTAGCCACATTATTACTCTCCTGTTAGAACGTCCGTCAGTCCGTCCGTCCACAAAACTGGATCCCGCGATAACGCAAAAAGTACTGAAATATTTTTATGAAACTTGATATATGGATAGATGGCAGTATGGAGATTATGCACGTCTTTTTCTTTTCTTCCTATGTTGAAAATTCTGGTTGCTATGGCAACAAATAGTCTGAAAATATGGCAAATTTAACACATAAACTGGATCCAGTGATAACTCAAAAAGTACTGAAAATATTTTTATTAAACATAAAATATGGGTAGATGGCAGTCTGCAGATTATGCACATCTTTTTCTTTTCTTCCTATGTTGAAAATTCTGGTTGCTATGGCAACAAATAGCCTGGATTTCAAGATTTCTGATTTAATTTTTTCAGCTTTTTCGCTATAAGTTCTTTATTTCTTAAGGTGTTTACTTCAAACTTTAAATATAAGTTTCTGGTCATCAACCACATCATATGTGACAAGGTTTACAACTCTAGCACAAAAATTATCAGTATTACCTCCCTTGAACTTAGAATTTTTATGAAAAAAAATGTTGTCTTTTTTAAATAACTTCTTTATTTCCTAATGTATCTACTTCAAACTTCATATATATGTTTCTTATTATCACTCAACATTTTTGAGAAGGTTAAATACTCTAGCAAGACTATTTCCAGAATTATGTCCCCCTTTAACTTAGATTTTTTTCGAGAAATTGGTATTTTTTACTCACAACTTCTTCATTCCTTATAGGATTTACTTTAAAATCCCACATCGTAATAATATGACAAGGTTGTATAAACATAATTGCCTTACTAGGCAGGGAAACTTAACACATTACTGTGAAATAGACAAACATAGAACTCAAAAGATTTAAGTTCATTCATGTCATTCATTCACTGGTAAAATTGAAATCAGAATGTTGCTGGGGTTCTAATCGGTAGGGGACTTATGGATTGCTTGCAATACTATGATAATTGCTTGTTTTTTTTTAGAGAAAGATTAAACTGTTTATAAGGACCATGTTTTCTCCATGTTTTGCCAGGGTGGCTTCTGAAGCAAGGTTTCACTGTACATCATGTTATGTATGCAATGTGTATTTTACAGATCCTCCATACATTTCTCACATGAGAACATTCCCATACACGAAGGAGCACAACCGTCAGGTAAATGAAGGCTCAAACTTAACACTGGCTTGTGAAGCACATGGTAATCCTAAACCAACATGGACCTGGAAATTCTTTCCAAACAAGGTAGGTGTCGCTGTATGTGTAAAGTGAACTATCCAATAGCTGTTAAAATAATTGTCCATCCTGATTATGCTTGTCCGGGGCGAAACTCTGTCATTATTAGGCAGAATTTCAAATAACTTAGCACAAATGTTCATCATCATGAGATAATGTGTCACATGCAAGAACTGTGTGGCAAGGTCAAAGGTCAAGGTCATACTTTAAGGTCAAATGCAAAAAATTTAAATAGCTTGTCTGCACCATAACTCTATAACTAGCTGGTGGAATTTCAAATAACCTGATACAAATGTTCAACATCATATCATGAGATGGCGTGTAACACCCGAGAATTGTGTGGCTAGGTCAAAGATCAAGGTCATATTTAAAGGTCAAATGCATAGAAATGGTCTCAGACAGCTTGTCTGCACAAAAAGCAAAAAACTATAAAAACAGTCAAAAGGTGGTGACAGTGGCTTTATTACAATATTTATGATATTTACCAGCTCTTACAGTTAACAAAATGGTTTGTAGGCTTTAAATGATAAACTATTTTTACTTTCTTCTGCCTGAATTTGTTTTGTGTTCACCTCTACATATTTTTGTACATTTTACAGGTAAATAAGTCTAGATTGTTACCATGTAAGTTAGTGACATGTCCACTGAAGCACTTGACAGGGATAGACACAGGCTCTTATCAGTGTACAGTCACCAATACAGTGAAAGGTGTAAACAGAACAGCTACACAAACACTTTACATCAAAGTTAATGGTATGTTTGTTTAATTTTCTTAATAAGAATATTAATGTTTTGAATAGCTGAATACTTATGAGAACAGACTATAAAATCTAAACATATGCATCTGTGGTAGAATGGTTATGGTCTTTGACTTCAAATCACTTGTCCCTTACCGCTGTGCCTCTAAATCCCAACAGTGACTTTGGATTCATTCGTGTGAAGATGCTAATGCAGCTATCCAGCTAGCTTACAGAATGTCAGTGGTGCCTGATTTTGCCAGAAATAATGCATGGAAGGGCACCTAGTCTTCCTCCACCCGTAAGCTGGAAAGTTGCCATATGTCCTACGCTGTGTTGGTGTGACTTAAAAACAAACCAAAAGAACCTAAAAAATTGATTGCCCTAAATTTAATTTATGTCCTGAAATAGGTACAATTTAAGTGTTTAAGGATTTAAAGAAATATGTTTTAGAATAGTCCTGAATATAATCTTTGTTTCATTGTCAGAATATTGCCCAATCATAAAATGTTTATAGCTTATGATAAATAAGTTATAAACAATAACTCATTGTAAATTATTTACTTAAAGCATTTCAATGTGTTTTGCTAATTGTGTAGCTTTGTAAAGGTAGGACTTTCAGTTGGACCTCATTACCTTGACTAACTGACTAACAAAAAAAATCTTCCCCAACTGTCCCCTTCCCAATTACTTAATTACCTTCATATGGTAACTTACATATTGTTAAGTGTACTTATTTCTGTCTTATAATGATTGATACTACAAGTTTCAAGTCTGAATACCAGACAACCCAGAATCAGTTTCTTTTTTTTTGGAAACCTTGTTTGTCTTTGGAAGGTTTCAACCAATGTAATCTAAGTGAACAAACACTCAATTCATTACTGCCTTGCTGTCCTTTGATTCTGTGTGGTATTTGCATATTGCAAGCTTTAAAGTGCATATTGTTTAATGCAACTGTATATATATATTTTTTATAATATTTCATATGAATTATGATTGTTATGATAATGCCTGAAGAGAATCTAATGTATGGTTCTCAAATGTGTGTTTATATTCTAGGAGTGAAAGATTAGATAATTACCAGTCATTTTTTTCTATCACAGGTAAAGGACCATTTCCTACTGCAGCACCTGTTAATGTTGAATACAAGAAAGAGAAAGGATGTAAGTGTTTCAACTTCACAAAATATCTAAGTTAAAGTAAACATTTTAAAAATCTTTTTCCATAGATATTCTCCATATTATATAAGCTTAAGAACAGATTTAGCTGTAGATTGGTAAGGACTGGTCTGTTTTTAGCTCACCTGTCACAAAGTGACAGGGTGAGCTTTTGTGATCGCTTTTCGTCCGGCGTCCGTCCGTCGTCCGTCCGTCCGTCCGTCCGTCGTCCGTCGTCCGTCCGTAAACTTTTACTTTAAATGACATCTCCTCATAAACCACTAAGCCAATTTCATCCAAACTTCATAAGAATGTTCCTTTGGTGGTCACCTTTAAAAATTGTTCAAAGAATTTAATTCCATGCAGAACTCTGGTTGCCATGGCAACCAAAAGAAAAAACTTTAAATATCTTCTTTTAAAGAACCATAAGAGCTAGAGCTTAGATATTTGGCATGAAACATCTTCTAGTGAGTGTCTACCAAGTTTGTTCAAATAAAAGCCCTGGGGTCAAAATTGGCCCCGCCCCGGGGGGTCATTGATTTTCCCTATATGCATATAGTAAAAACTTAAAAAATCTACTTTTAAAGAACCCAAAGAGCTAGAGCTAAGATATTTAGCATGAAACATGTTCTAATAGGTGTCTACCAAGTTTGTTCAAATAAAAGCCCGTGGGACAAAATTGGCCCCGCCCCGGGGGGTCATTGATTTTCCCTATATGCATATAGTAAAAACTTAAAAATCTTCTTTTAAAGAACCCAAAGAGCTAGAGCTAAGATATTTAGCATGAAACATGTTCTAATTGGTGTCTACCAAGTTTGTTCAAATAAAAGCCCTGGGGTCAAAATTGGCCCCACCCCAGGGGGTCATTGATTTTCCCTATATGCATATAGTAAAAACTTAAAAAATTCTCTTTTAAAGAACTCAAAGAGCTATGGCTAAGATATTGAGCATTAAACATGTTCTAATAGGTGTCTACCAAGTTTGTTCAAATAAAAGCCCTGGGGTCAAAATTGGCCCCGCCCCAGGGGGTCATTGATTTTCCCTATATGCATATAGTAAAAACTTAAAAAATCTTCTTTTAAAGAACCAAAAGAGTTAGAGCTTAGATATTTAGCATGAAACATGTTCTAATAAGTGTCTACCAAGTTTGTTCAAATAAAAGCCCTGGGGTCAAAATTGGCCCCGCCCCGGGGGTTCATTGATTTTCCCTATATGCATATAGTAAAAACTTAAAAAATCTTCTTTTAAAGAACTCAAAGAGCTATGGCTAAGATAATTAGCATCAAACATGTTCTAATAGGTGTCTACCAAGTTTGTTCAAATAAAAGCCCTGGGGTCAAAATTGGCACCGCCCTGGGGGTCATTGATTTTCCTTATATGTGTATAGCAAAAACTTAAAATCTTCTTTGAAAAAACCCAAATAGCTAGAGTTTAGATATTAAGCATGAAACATCTTCTAGTAAGTGTCTACAAAGTTTGTTTAAATAAAAGCCCTGGGGTCAAAACTGGCCCGGCCCCAGGGGTGTCATTGTTTTTAACTATATGTGTATAGTAAATACTTTAAAAAAATCTTCTTTTAAAAAGCCCAATGAGCTAGAGCTTAGATGTTTAGCATGAAACATCTTCTTATGGATGTCTACCAAGTTTGTGCAAATAAAAGCCCTTGGGTTAAATTGGCCCTGCAACGTTGGGGGGGGGGGGGGGGTTTGGGGGGCCTATATACAGGTGAGCGACCTCAGGGCCATCATGGCCCTCTTGTTAGATTTTACTTGTGAGAATTCAGTATTTTAGTGATATTTAATGAGAACTACATATTTATATTTTTTCCTTTGATTTTATCTTTATGTGATACCAATACAGTATATCAATAGGGATACTCCGGAACTTGGGGGAAAAATATAGGTTTTTCCCGTCTTATTCCAGGGTACAATCAAACTATATCAGTGACATTTTGCTAAATATTTTGGTTTATAAGCATTACGTGTTTATCACATTATTTGCCCAGTTCCAGATATGATCATTTGGTAATTCATTATTTCATATAGGAAGTTTCCACCTTATTTAGGTAGTGTAGGAAAATGTAGGATCATCATGTCAGTTGTCTCAGCTGGCCCCTTTCTGCTTTTTTTCCTGTTTAATGGATGATATAAAATGTATATTTAAATGATATAATGTTTACCACATCTTGTTTCAGTTTCACCATATGCTATTGGAGCCATTGTATGTGCTAGTCTAGCTGTAATACTTATCATTATATTTATCTTACTGGCATTGAAAATGAGGGTAAGTGTAGTTACACGGTATATCAGCATTATTAACTGATACAGTTTAGCATTTTATTTTCATTCTTATAAAACCTTAGGAAATGTCTGAAATAAAAGTCAAATCGGACATTTTTTGTAAATATATTAGATTACTTTGATGACTAACAGGATTTTCTTTAGCTATTTTTATATGAAAAAATAAAATTAACCAGATTTACACAGCTTAATAGTCTCAGAATGCTTAAGGTTTTAAAAGGGATGCCAAAAGTATCTGCCACAGTTAAACCAAACAAATTTGGTTTAAAGAAACACTGTTTCATTATGTAAAATAACCTAAATGGAGTCCCTTTAAGGGTGTATGGTAGCTTTATTAAATTGTAACGTAGCTTTATACTATTTCGTACCGATCATTGCCATGAAGTATGTTGTTTTATTTTTTGGCAGAGAAGAGAGCATTTGTTACATGAGCGTATGACTAGAATGGGGGATGAAAACTTTGATGACCAGGAAGTTGAACTGCTCGATGAGAATATACAACCAGATAATACAGAATTGGTAAGTTTTATCACACACCAGTGCCGCTTTTGTGGCTGCGTAAAAATGGTATTGCATGGGTGTGCATATATTTTGACGTGATGTCATATGCATTTCATAAACATAGCATAAAGATGAGCTAAATGTTAGCATTATACTGAAAGCGCGTCAATGAAAAATTGTTCTTTTTCACATGAAACAGTCTTTATTTTTGGTATATGATAAATAGAATATTAAATTTGTGTACGCTCATTTACTGAATTTATTGAACGAGTTGATAAATGATATTATGCGAGTCTCTAAACTTACACTCATTCAATATCTTCTATTTGCTCGGACATATTAGATCGGGTATTTTTTTGTTGAAGAGATAATGTTTTGTTGATTTGACTATTCTGAACAGGTATGTTTTGTTGTTAAGAGATGATACAGAATTGGTATGTTTTGTCCATCAGGAATGTATTTATTCAATGTTTACCTTTGAGTTGGTCACTGACAATTTGTATGTTGTTGCCATGGTAAAACACATTTAAAACTTTTTTCCAATATCTTTGTGATCTGGGACAATGAGTCTTATGGTCATTTGTCTCTCATCATTGATCCAAAATGATGTGGGATTAGTAGTTGTTCACTTGCGGAGAAATTAGTAATTACTGGTTAGATATCCAGGAAAGCAGTTTAGGTGGACCAGCTTCTGAGATATCTCCAAAAGTGTGTAAATAAAAGCCAAACAGACAAACATTTGTTTGTACCAGGACAGCTTTTGGCACATTCTGATTTTATGAAATTGGACTTCAAAATAATTTTGACCTTTGGCAAATTCTCAATTTTCAATATTCTTTCTATATCATGCGGCATACTGATTTGACAAAATCAGGAATTAAAATAATTTTGACTTTTTGACCTTGACCTTGTAGCCAGCTGAGTATGGTAGATTGAAGCAGCAATGGGAGATAGCCAGGAAAGATATACGACTTGTTGACCTGATTGCGAAAGGATCTTTTGTTGAAGTATGGAGGGGAAGAATGAGAAAATATCCAAGAAGAAATGAAATTATGAAAGTTGCGATCAAAAGAATTGTTTGTAAGTCATGTTTTGTTTAATCATATTATATTGCTTATATATATGTGTAAATATAAACAGAAACAACAGGTTTTTCAAAAGCAATGAATAGCCAATGTGTTTATGATATATTTAAAACTTTGAGAGAATGGTGGGAATTTTTTTTACAAAAAGTAAAACTATTTATAATAGCTTTTTCAATATCTTTTGTAGATTTTTCTGTTATAAGTGCACCTGTTGATCTATGTAATAACTTCAAGTTCATTGCCAAACTTATATTAATGTAGATTTGTCCAGCTTTTTCATTTAGAAAAAAGGTCCATTTTTATTTTGAAGGAGTCTAATTCCAGGAGTCTAATTCCAAAATGATTAAATTGAACAGCCAGACTGTATGGAATCAGATATAAGTCAATGTCACCTCTACTTTTTCAAAGGATTTACCAAAAAAATATCATGGATGCATATTTTCAGGCTAATGTGAAATAGTTGTATAACATAAGAAGTTTGATTATTTTTTATAATACGGGAAGTATTTTGTTGTTTTATCTAGCTGAGGCGACAGAGAAGGAGCGAAGATTTTACCTCGCAGAACTTGAAGTTATGAAAGCTATACAGCCACACCCAAATGTCTTGCCACTGATAGGATGTTATACTGGTAGTGGTAAGTTTAAAGTGCATATTATGTAGGAATGATTTTAGAAATAGGGATGCCTTTTTTTAAAAATTTAACTTATTGATTTGCTGTCGGTACTTTGTCATGTTTGGTTAAGTTGTTTTAAGAATAACTTAAATATTAAATTACATTGATGTTAAGTTTTGTATAATGCCATTCAAAAAAAATCTGCATATAAATTTAAAAAAAAATAATAATCAGAGGCACACCTGTTCTCCCTATGAAGAACTGGCATATTGCCAAATAACTTGTACATTTTGTATTGAGTTAAAATTATATAACAATTAAAACAAGAACAAAACCCTATCAATATAAAAAAACGCCATGAAATTTATTTGTTTAGCAAGTAATCTTTGCTTAAATCCAAAATTGATTTATTTTATGAATAATGATTTAAAAATTCAAAATTTGAAATAACAACTTTTTATGTTCCAGATCCATGGCTAATAATGGTAGAGTATGCTGTAGAAGGAAGTCTTTATCAATATTTACAGCACCGTCGACCCGGTGACCTTCGTGTAGAGATCAGCACAGATAACCATGACAGCGTTAGCTTACGTAATCAGAATCTCACTGCCCATAAATTACTGTCACTCGCAGCTCAAGTTGTCAACGGTCTTATACATATCAACAGGTTTAAGGTAAATAACTAAGTTTTATTTTTCTAAACAGAAATAAAGGGTATTGAATTAGTGTTATAAATCTCTTACTGAAACTACATGAATGTCACCAGAATAATCACGTGACTTTTTTTATGATCTTTGGTTTTACACAGGTGTCAATTCGTTCATTAATTAGTGCACAGACGGGCACCTGAGGTTTTCCTCCACCAGTTAAGCTGGAAAATTCCATATGACTTATACTGTGTTGATGCGACGTTAAACCCAGCCAAAGAAAAAATAAAAAAATTCCGATCTTCAGAAAACGGTCTGGAATCTCTGGATAGTAATTTCTTCCAGAACATTTGTAATATTTCAAAAATTTCTATAAGATCAAGTTTAGAGCCTGCTTCTTCTAGTGAGAATCCCATACATACAATGATTCTATTTCAAAAAGTGAAACAGCATGCACATTTGGTAATAATACTTCCAAAATATCACGGTTTATCATTTGTTTGCACTGTTTTATTACTCTATTTTATTATGATAAAAAAAATTGCCTAATAAAAAGCAAATTATAAAGATTGTCTTACATAAACAATCAAGGTGGCCTTTGGGAGGCCTCTGCTAATTTGGCTAATTAAAGTGCCAAAAGTAAAGTAAAAGCAATGCAACATCACAGAAATTAGTTGGTCAAAAAAGACTGGATAGAATATAATTTGTCATTTCAAATTTTTATCTGTAAATTGCCAATGTCCAATTCCATTTTCATTTACAGCTCAAGAGAACTAAACGAGGCACTAAAAGAGTGGTATTATAATACTATATTAAATGACTTTGTTATTGTAGATGATATTTTACCGTCTTCGAGCCTCAAGCGTGCTGGTATGTAAAGGTGGAGTTTGTAAACTGTCGGGGTTTGGTTTTACACAGGACATTACTGAGCGGAATCTGTATGAGGGCGTAAGTGTAATTTTATGAAAAAATTGCAGTGTTGAAAAATTTTAGGTCACAATGTTTGATGGAAGAGAGGAATGAAAAGAAAATGAGTATTTGAATATATAGAAAAATCACGAAAAATCACGAAAAATTGGCACACCGCAGCTGGGAGACTTGAACCACTGGTCTCTGGATTGCCGGTTCAGTATTCTATATCACAGTGGCCCGTTTCATTTTTAGCTCGACTTTTCTATGAAAAGGGGAGCTATCCTACTCGCCCCGGCGTCGGCGTTAGCGTCACACCTTGGTTAAGTTTTTCGTACCACCCCACTTTATTTCAGAAGTATTACAAGTATGGCTTTGAAACTTACCATACTTGTTCACCATCATAACCTCCATCTACAGACAAGAGTACATAACTCTGTCAAGGTTTTTGACAGAATTATGGCCCTTTTTTGACTTAGAAAGTGTATTGAGCTTGGTTAAGTTTTTTGTACCACCTCACTTTATTTCAAAACCATTGGAGGTATTGCTTTGAAACTGACCATACTTGTTTACCATCACGACCTTCATCAACAGACAAGAGGACATAACTCTGTCAAGGTTTTTGACAGAATTATGCCCCTTTTTGACTTAGAAAATACATTGAATATGGGTAAAATCCACTTATTGCCTTAACCCTTTGAGATATTGCTTTGAAACTTTTAATGCTATTTCACATCATTACCCCCATCTGTACGCAAGAGAAGGTAACTCTGTCAAGGATTTGTTTTAAAAATTAAGGCCTTTTATCGACTTAGAATCTTGGTTAATAATTCTTCACTAAATATCTTAATGCTCATGGCCATTGTTCACTTTAAAAATACAGAGATTCTTGTATTGCCTTTTACTGCAAAAACTTTTTTTATTGGCAAGCAATAAAAAAGTCGAGCGCGCTGTCTTACGGACAGCTCTTGTCTTCATGCTTATTGACCTTATATATGCGTGTGTTTAGAAGAAAATTTCATAGAGATCACATTGTGAAAACATGACTTAAAAAGAGGGCTAATTAAATGTGATTGTAGGAAATAATCCTCTGCAGCTGATAAAAGAAGTTATTGTCAGTTGGTGAGGTTCTTATTTGGAACTTATTGACAAGTTCATGTCGAAATATTGTTTGTTACAGAATTTTAATGCAAAATGTTACCACATTTACACATTCAGTGTAAGATTATTATAAAGAAGTTAATTGTAATCATTTTCATTTTATTATAGAATTCTTCGCCAGTCCGCTGGATGAGTCCTGAAAGCTTGTTTGAGAATGTCTTCAATATTAAAACAGATATCTGGTCATTTGGAATACTTCTATGGGAAATTGTGCATTTTGGTAAGAAGTTTTTGTAAAGTGTCAACATGTCTGCCAGATTTGCCAGATTTTTTTTACACTTTTCTATGTCACTTAATGATAAGGGTAGATAAACAAGATCCAAGAATCATAGTGGTGTTTTGTTCTATTTAGAACCTGTACAGAGATCTTATCCATTTATCATTTCCTTGTATAATCCTGTACCAATACTAGCCTTAATTTTCCACAACCATGAATAAATTCCTTTAATGAATAAGCAACAAATTGTTTGTATAGAATTGTACTGAAATAAGGGAGGAGTGATTACAATGTCTAGTGTAAAATGATTAACAGAAAATATTCAAAATTTGTAAAATATGTATATGTATATAGCTTATTTCTGTGTTATACAAGTACATTCAATTTGTTTTTGATTATTAAGCTTTTTGGTAGCATTTTAGCCTGTAAAAATGTAATGTATTGTAATAAATATGATTTTATATATATTATAGGACATTTGCCATATCCTGACATGGGCCCTCATGAGGTGACAGAGAAAATACAGACCGGATATAGAATGTCACAACCTCCACATTGTAGTAGTGACATGTATGTATTATAGTTATATTTCATAATGAATCGATAGCTGAGGAGGTAGCATTGCCTAGTGGTAAAGGTTCTTATAGCATGGTTCGCATGAGTCTTGAAAAAAATCCTTGAATTTTATGTTTGGCATGAAAAACGCTAAAAATGATATTTTGCCCAAAGAACACTATAAAAACACATATAAAATTTAACTTAATGGTCTTGAAAAATCCTTGAACTTTATATATCAACATTGATTGTAAAAAAGATCATAAATTTATTAAAAATGGAAGGAATTTTATTTGTCAGTGATAGTTCTTCAAACATCATCTTGCTCATGTATAAGGGTTGGTCAGTATGTAATGCAATATGGTAAAAAAATTAAACAAAAGTGTAAATATTTTATAATTTTGTATTTCAATTCCTCGGAATAATCTCCTCCTCCAGAAATACAAAGTCTTATATGTTTATCTCAATATTGTGATATAAAGGCAAGAAATCCCTGTTTTAATTGCTGTTCAGTTGGTGATGATAATGACTTGTCTTGGTCACCTGTATAGAGATAGGATAACCTGTAATTCTGTGTAATCTTTTCTTGTTTCTATTGCCTGTATAATGTTGATATTGGAATGTTAAACTACATGTAATGTAATTATAAACTGCTTCAATTTTTGTTACATGACAAGTCCATGCCTCGATGTCATAAAACTTTTTTTTACTGAGTTCTGTCTCAAATCTGAGGATTTTCATTGGTCATTGAACATTCTATGGCAGTTTCTGACCAATCAAATACCTGAGATCTGAGTTTGAGCTAAGAGAATTTCTTTATTACCTTGGACCCAGGATTGTTAAGGTAAATCATGCAATTTTTATGCCCCCGCCATGTAATGGCCGGGGCATTTAGTGTTACCCTCTTCCGTCCTTCCGTCATGAGAAAATACAGGTCAAGTTCGAATTTGGTCATGGTTCAATGATTTTTGGCAGAGTTATGCCCCTTTCACTTTGAAAATAATATGAAATTTTCAGTTTCTGTTCATTATCTCCCCAACGGTACAACACATTCAACTCAAATTTGACATATGGATATGTTTTTGAAATGCCCAGGCCAAGTTCTGAAAATAATATGAAAATTACAGTTTCTGTTCATTATCTACCCAACAGTGTTACATATTCAACTCAAATTTGACATATGGGTATGTCAAAGGAATGGGCAGGTCAAGTTGGAATTTGGTCATGGTTAGATGATTTTTTGGCAGAGTTATGTCCCTTTCACTTTGAAAATAATATAGATACATCTTAGGAATAAGCAGTTTAAGTTTGAATTTGGTTGTGGTTCAATGATTATGGACCAACTTATCTTTCTTGAATGTTGGAAAAATTTTGAACTTTCAGTTTCAGCACTCATACTTTTGTTGAAATGTATGTAGCCATTATTTTGGCTACAAATATGCATTGAAAAGTTTTAAGGGCTTTGAACTTAAAATGAAAAAAATAATTTGTGCAAACAAATTTGGAACTAAATATTATAACATCTGAAATTTTGGCTGCATGCGGGGGCATCCGTGGCATGATGACACATTTCTAGTTTAATTAAATGCATAAAGGAGAATGACTTTGGTATCACATGAACTTGGCTTTGATATTTCAGCTACAATTTGATGTTGATGTGTTGGGCAGAAAATCCAGAGAATCGGCCATGTTTTGGTGACATCATGCAGAACTTGCATCATTTGACCCAGCAAGCGGACACACATATTGTTATAGACAAACTTCCCGATGGTCTCCGGAGTGCCGACATTATTGATAACACTGAAAGTATAGCTTGAACCAGACTGACAACAATATTTCCCAAAGTTTTTGCCATATTTTAGTTTAAACAATTTCTAATATTTTTATCATTTTTTATTTTTTTTAACTTACCAATACTGGTTTCATTTGAGGAAATATGGTCGTGACCTCAGTAGGTCTCAAACCCCCACTTCCTGGATGTTGTTTTATAGAATGTTAATTATCCAAAGCCAGTCTAAATCTCTGGTATTTCATTGGTTAGATTTGAAATATGAAAATAGACCAATAGCAAAACTGGATTTGAATACTGGTAGCATTTTATGTAAGATTAAAAATTTTGCAGCTAATTCTTGTTTCAGAAGGTAAATCTTCGAGTTAAGTTTAATTAGAAAATTATAATTATAGTAAAAACAATACATATAAAAGTTTATCAATAGAAATCCATTTTCATTTTGACATTGTATGCATGTTTTATAAGATTTGAAATATCTTACTTTATGTTTGTTATAGGTTTAAAATACACATGTTGTTCTAGTTACAATGTATAAAAGTTAGCTAACAAAGTACATGTAGTATGAAATGTAAGAAATTTCTATTTTGGTATATCAGAAATCCTTCAACCCTTGCATAGTTACACCTTAACCAGTCATATTGTTTTTCATTTATGCCACATTATGTATATTTTTTGCTGTCAAGCTCAGTAGAATTAGTAATATATTTCAAAAGATTGACTTTTTTAGTGGTAATGGACCAATAATTGATACCAAAAAATGTTTAGGATAAAATATAAAACTACACATGTACCTTAATTATAAAAAAATTGCTCCACTCATTCTAGAAATTGAATGCTACTGATACATTTCAAATGATATTTATAGAATTTTCCCTGAGTCATTATTATTTTTACATACCAAATGTAGAATTGAACACAATTATGGCAAAATTTAAAGTTGCTTTTGAATATTACTCGTGCACTCACCATTTACACTTGGATGGGCATAATGTCATTTTGATGAAATGTTTTTTTAGAATGCTAAACTTGTGCATATATTTGTGATAGAATCGAATTATTCATAGACCCATTTCTATAAAGCTCACTTTTAAAGATATATGTTCATATTGAAATGCTCAGATATTTATATAAAAAAGTGTGTGTCCTTTACAATTTGATTATCCCCTTTTAAATTTGTTAAAAGAGTATAAATTTATATCTTATGGAATATTTTTATAAGATTTATAAATGATTAAATTATATAGTTTCCATAATCTTATGGTTGATTCTCAAAAGAGTTTAACATGCCATGGTATGTCTCTATTATGTAACACACTTGAATATTGTGTGTAAATGAAAATAAATATTGCAGAACAAAAATATTATGCTACTATTTTAGGGAGAGTTTAAACCACTTAGCAACGATTTTATGCATGTGCAATTGGCTCTTAAAGGAAATATTCAAACATTTTTCTTTCGTACATGTATTTTGGATTTTTTCTTTTTTCAAAATTGAATTAATAATTTTGTAAATTACAAACATCAGATATTTATTGTGTGTAGAAAATAGAGCTGTTTATAAACTTTGATGAGTGTAATGAGTTAGAAAATGGCACAGAATCAGAATTATGAAGGAAAATTATGAGATTATTCCATTTTGACTTGCCAATAACATGTAAGACATGAAAAGTTTTTTTATGATATGCATGCATAGTGCTATGTTTTAAGTAAGAATATACTCATTTTTTATTACTTTTGAATAAATAGTTATTGTTTCTTCATTATTAGGTGGACTGTACCAGTTATATGTTAGCAAATTGAATTAGGATTGGATAGTAATGAAGTTTGATAGTAAAATATTGAGTTCCTTAACCCTTTCAATGCTTTAAGTAATGGGCTTGTCCTTTCAATTTTAGCAAGTACACATGTATGTATGAAGACTCCAGTTGGTATTGCTTTTGGACCCCCTGGGGTCAAGGTCACCATTGCTTAATATAGAAAAATGGTTTCTGGACAATAACAAGAGTTGGGAATGAGATATTGTAATCAAACTTTTTATATAGCAAGCTTATACGAAGACCCTGGTTGGTATTGCTTTTGGACCCCTGGGATTAAGGTCAAGGTCACCATAACTAAAAATAGAAAAATGGTTTCCAGACAATAACTAGAGTTAGGAATGAGTTATTGTAATCAAACTTGTAAGTGATGAAATTGTCGTTTTAATTTTTAAACAGTCCATTGGCAGTTTTAGAGTTTTCAATATTACTATGATAATATTAAAGGTCCTGATTAAACTGCAAGGATATTCAGGCTACCCTAACTGTTATACAGTTAGCATACGTCTGATACTTTGCTGATAAAGGAGATAGTTATGCTGAGCTAACAGGGTGATACAATGAATGAGAATAGTGCTTGTGTCAAAATGAAATTCTGTTATGTGATCATTTTGAAATTTGTTGTTGTTGTTGTTATAGCATTGGAATATCTGTCTCATGATTCCACTAGATGCAGGGGTGCTTATTTATAAAACATACATGTACATTAATAATATGCATATACTTGTACTTATTTTAATCATATATTTGTATTGTAATTTATACATTTTTTGTTGGCTAACCTATTCTAGGCTTATTTTCCATTTTCTTTACTTACACTTTTTCAATTCTGCTGACGTAAGCTGTATCTTTTTTGCTGATGTAAACCATATCACATGTTGTGATGTAAGCAGTACCATTAGTGCTTTTGTATTCAGTATCAATTATGCTAAAGTAAGCTGAATTCATCCTGTTATTGTAAACTGTAATGTGGGTGTGCTTATGTAAGCGGTATCAATCATGTCAGTGTGATGTAACTTGTATCAATCATATAAATGTGATGTAAGCTGTATCATTTATGTCAATATGATGTAAGCTGTATCATTCATGTTAATATGATGTAAGCTGTATCATTTATGTCAATATGATGTAAGCTGTATCATTATGTCAATATGATGTAAACTGTATCATTCATGTCAATATGATGTAAGCTGTATCATTTATGTCAATGTGATGTAAGCTGTATCAATCATGTCAGTGTGATGTAAGCTGTATCATTCATGTCAATATGATGTAAGCTGTATCATTTATGTCAATGTGATGTAAGCTGTATCAATCATGTCAGTGTGATGTAAGCTGTATCATTCATGTCAATATGATGTAAGCTGTATCATTCATGTCAATGTGATGTAAGCTGTTTCATTAATGTCAATGGGATGTAAGCTGTATCAGACATGCTTTACTTTAACATTTATGCTAATGTAAGCTGTATCACAATATTTTATTGTAAGTAGACCATATCAAGCATGCTTATTTATCCAATCTCCTCACACCGGTCATGTCATGCTTTGCTACTTAAACTACTGCCAACACTATAACACATGTGATGATAGGTATAACATGTGACAAGACCATGTGACCACTTGAATATGCCTGTTATCTTAACAAACATTCTTTTTTTACATATTTTAAATAACTCTTTTTTTACATTAAACATTATAATAAAATTTAAGACAGTTGGCATGATAGAAAACATTAAATTGAAAATAAAAGTGAAAAAATATTTTCAATTCTGTGACAGTCGAAATTTAACTCGTGCTGAGCCTGGCAGTGGTGTCTGTAAGAACAGGGGAAGTAACTGCTGCAAGGAGTTTGTTATTTTTACCAGGACCATGACATTTGATGTATCCTTTTGCCATATAAAGTCTTGAAAATCTTGCCGTCCTTTTTAAAGATATTATATATTTATTTATATACTGCTCGCTGTAGATTTCTTCCTTTTATTATGCAAACTTTATTTAACATGCTGTCTTATTCCCTGGGCACGTTGAGGTGCATAAGCTGTATTTATTTATCTATTTTTTACATCAAATAGAAATTCTTGCTTTTTTTTCAGTCTATGTTTTGCCCTATGCAAAGAATGATACTGAAGTGTTACCAAGGAATAAATTTTTTCTGTTTAACATAAGTTCATAGCTTATTTAAAAAAAAATATAAGTACTTCACTTGATTGCTCCAAAAACTAGATTACTTTGTGCTATTTTTGCATGCAAAGTGTTACCTAGGTATACATTTTCTGTTTAACATGAATTAATTGCTTATTTTTAAAAAAATTGTACTTCACTTAATTGCTCCAAAACTATTTCTTTACTGCAACATTATTCTGTGCTGTTCTTACATAAAACAGCTCATAATTATATGTATGTTTTTGAGGTCATAGTTTTTAAGATTTTCTTGTCTAATGCCCTGCCAGTCATAGTTTAACATGTCAGGTGTGTTTATAGTCTCTCTTTGGCATTACATGTACTATTCTATGCTGTAATAAACCTTCCTCAAGCCCTTTCGTTACCTGTTATATACAATCAGGTTGTAGGCAGGTGATTCATTGCTAAGAAAAGGTGAAATGTACCTTGTTTTAGGTTGTCAATTATTTTGCTTCATATTACACCTTTGTAAAAATTGTTTAGCAATGCCTACATCAGTTTAACAAGGGTAACCACAATTCCTTGAATTGTATGTTTCTTTCATTAGTGGTTTAATTCTAATAGGTTGTAGGCAGTATCTTCATTACTTACGTAAGCCTGTTACGGCTACAATTTATTAAATCATGCACTTCTTTCATTAGTGATTCAATACATTAAATGTTGTAGGCAGTATCTTCATTACTTACGTTAGCCGTAACAAGTCCTACTACATTTGTTGAATCAAACATTTTAGTCATTAGCTGTTTCATGCCATCTTTTCATTTGGTGTTTTATCCTTGCCAATAGTGGACATTATCCAACATTTCTAACTAACATATGCTGTTATATATCTTGTTTCAGTCCCCTGACTCATACATTCCATTTGTTAACCTTGTTTATGCACATTATAGACAATAGGTATATAACTGCTTCCGTAAGCTGTAACAAACCATTGTTCATTTACTTATATCATACATTCCTTTTAATAAACTCTTTCATACATGTCGTGTTGTTAACATTATCTCACATTTCTTACGTAAACTGTAACATGCCTGGCTTTAAGTCTTTTGACCATATTTTCATATATTAACTGTTGCTTATATCGATGTAGACTTTATTTTACATCTCTTCTGTACACTGTTCCACATTTTGCTACCTTGAATCATGCATTCCCTTTATTTTCATTTCCTACATTCCTCCTGTAAACTGTATCAAACATTGTTGATGTAAGCCGTATCAAACATTGTTGACTTAAGCCGTATCAAACTGTTAATCACCAGTATTATCACATGATACCATTTACATGTATAGTTTTTTTTTCCTACTTTATAATATGTTAAAGAACTAACATTGATATTGTGTGGCAAAATGAAAGTAGAAGTAGCCTTTATATTTTGATTTTATTGGTCAGTCAGTATGTGTGATATAACGAGTAATAGCAACAAAATATAGACATCATTTCATCTTTAAATGAATGAACATTTGAAATTGAAAAAAAAATGTGAAAATTTATCTTTTTAGTTTACGATAGTTCAGATTGCCATTGTTGTTGTTGTTATACCTAGTTTATATCAAGCACATATCACTAAATGTTGTGTAAGTTTTTACTAGTCTTTTCCATGTAGATCATGTGATTTATATACATGTATATTTCATTTTTTCATGCATCTTCCAGGCTTAATTGTTACTTTTATACTTGTTTAAACTGGTAATATTTACAAAAGGTATGATTTTTCTTCTTCTTTTTGTTTTTTTGTTGATGAAATTAGAATCCATTGCTTTAGTAATTATAATCAAACCAATCCTTTTCCATTACCAAGCTAAATATCTTAAATGGACTTGTCCATCTTCAAAACAGGACAAAACCATTCATCATTTTTAGGGGGAAACTTAAAAATAAGTACTGACCCAATAGCAAACAGTGCAGACCATGATTAGTTTGCACCAATGTTCCGGCTGATCTTGGTCAGCACTGGTCATGTGGTTTGAAGTTCAATTTTAATACTTTGAAATGTTTAATAACTATATAATTGTTAATGTGTTCATTTATTAGCCTTAATGCCCATCTATAGGCTAACATATTTTTGAAAAATACTTTCAACCATAAGTCTTCTTGTTTAACTTTAACTGTTTCATCTGAATTGTATTGAACTGTCATTTTTAGATTTACATTTTTTGGTTATTAGGGTTAT